AAAAATGACAGGCCAGAACTATGGTGATGGCACATAGGTGACTTGGTGATGGGAAGCCCATGGGGATTACAACTGAGATGGAAAATGTACAAAATGATGTAAAAATAAACTATTATATTATTTATTAAAAAAAAAAAAGACAGGCCAGAAACCTGTAGTGTGTCCAGATAATTGTACCAATGCTTCCCTGAGGATTGGAGCAATAATCTTAGCTATTGGTGTTTCCCACAGACTACTTGCTGTTTCCTCTGTTCAGCTAGACCAATGGGGAAAAACAGAGAAGAGAAGGCAGCCGGATGGGGGTGGGGGCAGTGCCTACTGACTGTCCCATCCAAACAGCCTATTTTAGCACAGTTCCCCATGGGTTGTCTTAATTCACCTGGGAATATTTTACAGAAAGCTATTGTTGACATTTAAAACGAGGGCCATGAAATGAAATGAGAAGGGAAGACTAATGAGAAAAGACAACAACATAAAGCACCTTGTAGAAGTCAGATTACTTAGGAGGACAGAGAATGTGATGTTTACTTATGTGTGCCAATTTGCTTACACTATAGTGCCTAGTTTAGTCAAACACTGAATGTCGTCATGAAGGTATAATTTAGATGTAATTTGCATTCACAATTGCTAGACTTTGAGTACCCTCCACAAGGAATGTGGGAATGTTCCAATCAGTTGAAGGCCTAAAGAACAAAGGCTAAGTTTTCCCAAGGAAGAAGGAATTCTGTCCTTCAGAGTAAAAAACACAGCACTACAAAGTTATCTGCAGATCATGGGCCAGAGCGGTGACCCGCTTGGTGCAGCAGACCTCTTCTGTCTTGCCCGCTGCCTGTTCTGCTCCCCACTCTGTCTCTGGTGAATCCTCTCACCTGAGGATTCACTTCCTGCACCTCTGCCTGTACCCTCGTTCTCATATGCACAAATAGAGACATTGTATATGGTAAAATCATATACAGTAGGGTACCACATGTATTTATATGTACATTAGAGAGTAGCCTGGAGTGATACCCATCTAAATGCTGCTTGCTAGTGACCATGGCCAGGACTTGGGTGTACAAGTGAGGTGCCAGTGACACGCAATGTTAGAGGCCCTCCTGCTCAGGGTCTTGCAAGTGCAAAGGCTGCCTCCAAGTTCGAGCACCTCCCTTCAGTGTTGCCCTGCGTACCTCATCTGCCCTGGGTACCTGCCCCTTCCCTGCTGGGACCTAGCCCTGCCAGGTCATGGGCAGTTTCCCCTTCTTATTTTTCTCTTACATGTGTGTTCAAGTTCTTTGCTATATCAAGTGTGTTCTGTTGTCCAGCATTATTAGCATCACTTGAGATTTTATTTGAAATACAGAATTTCACCTAGATCGGAATCTGCATTTTAACCAAATAAGAGGGGATTTGTGAGCATATTAAAGTTTGAGAAGCACTGGGTTAGCAAGCACCAAGCACAAGTCACATGAAGGGATATTCAGAAGCAATCGATGTTACTGTCTTCAATGTATGAGGCACACATTCCTGGAAGTAAGATGCCTTTAGAAGCTTCAGCAAGTGGAAAAAACACAGGTCAGCCCAATGGAGAAGCAGGGGACAGAGAACAATGTGGGACAACATTACAGAAAAGGAAAAGTCTAGTGGGTCTTAAACCGGGAAAAAGGGCAAGGTAAAAATGTGCTAGTGTTCACAAGAAGAAACTCAAGTTCCAAGGGATAAAGAATAACAATGTGCTATAATTTTTTTTACCTACGAGTGTCTAGAAAAATCTCTCATAAAACTGATAGGCTTGGATTAGGTAAATCAGATTGTAATTATAGTTTTGAGGGCAGAGATAATATAGAATAGAAAATATAAATAATGAATCTATTCACTATGCCCATTAACCAGAAGTCAATAAGTCCTACAACATGTCAGTTCTCCATTTAGATTAGTAAATTGGATTAAAGGAGAACACAAAGTAATGTTTGCTACCATGACAGATATTGCTGGCTGGATACCAATACCCATTCTCCCCCTACTTCTCTTTTTAAAAGATTTATTTATTTATGCATACAGAAATGGGATACAGGTCAGAGGTGCAGGGGGTGATAGGATTCAGTAGGGACAGAATGGGGAACAGAACAGGCAGACTGACGAAGTACAATGCTGAGGGGACCAGAGGGGAGCAGCGGGTGAGACAGGAGGGGTCTGCTGGGCCATGTTGGTCATCCCCCTAGCCGGGAGGTCAAACTTGTGCTGAAGCTGTTGCGGCTATAGCTAGCTTCATAGTGTTGTACTTTAACCCGTTGTGCCACCAGGCAGGGTCCCATATACCTTCTTCTCTCCTTCAGTTCCAGTCAGGTTGCTGACCTTGGTGTGTCAATAGCATTGTTTCTTCACAGCCTGTTTGATCTGGTGCTTGTTGACCCCGACATCCACAAGAATACAAGTGTGTTGATGTCTTCTATTTTCTTCATGGCTGACTCAGTGATCAGGGGGAACTTGATGATGGCCTAGTGGTCAGGCTTGTTTCTTTTAGGGGTGCTCTTCTGAGGCTGTCTGGGCTGCCCTTCGAGCTGCGGGAAGTTGTCTTAGGAAGTTGGAAGCTGAGTAATACGCAGTCTGTGTTTTGGAGGTGGGGGGTGCTATGAACACCTTTCCACACTGCTTTCCTGGCCTTCAATGCTTTTGTTTTGGCTTTAGCATTGGGAGGGACAGAGGATTCCTTTTTGTTTTCAACACCATCTTTGTGAAAGTCTTGGTTAACATTTTTCTATCAGTAAAATCTCTCCATATGAGGTTTTGCCAAATGCAGAGAGATGAGGATCAACTGAGATTAAAATGAGTAAACTTGGAGTCTTGGGAGCTGAAAAGTACTATGCAAACACCTTATACTGTTAGGTTTGGGGATGGGTAGGGTTTTGACAAAAGGCTTTGGGGGGAGGAGAGCCTCTGGGTGGAGAAACAGAAAGGTGAAGTGTTTTTTGTATAATGCTCGACAAAAGAACAGTGGGTTTTAACGACTGTCAAAATGAAAATAGTCAAGAAATCTTTGTCGTTTTTAAAAAAAAATTTTTTTTGTGCATACAAGAATTGGGGTATAGGCCAGAGGTGTGTGTGTGGGGGGGTGAGAGTACTCACTAGAGACAGAGTGGGGAGCAGAACAACTGAAATACACTGAGAGGAGCAGAAGGAAAGCAAGGAGAGGTCTGCTGCGCCATGTGGGTCACCTCCCTGGCCAGGGTTCGAACTCGGCCACAGTGGCTGGTGATAGCTTGATATTGCTGAGACTTTAACCCTTGTGCCACCAGGGAGGCCCTAAGGAAACAAAGACTGGGACCCCAAATTTACAGGATAAAACCAATCCCTAAGGTCTTACACAGTTATGCAAAAGTGTAAGACATCACAGTATCACAGAACATGCTAATGAATGACTTGTGCTAGTTTCTTTGGCTTCCTAAATGGCCTCTTTGAAGGCAGTCAGGGACCAAGTCTCACTGATCTTTGTTTCCAGGAACCTGACACTTTCTGGTTAAGGGCACTGTGTTCTATTTTCAAGGAATGAAAGAATGCCCAAAAGCTGGTAAACTTGGGACTACTTTACCCCAGCAGGAACTAAAGAGATTTGGTTAGGTAGCCTTGAAAAGCAGGTTACAGGTTAGAGTAAACAGGTCATAAGGACTATGTGTGTGAACATGTTATAGGGCACCTCAATTCAGAGAGAGGCACCCCTGAAGTCCCAAAACCTGCCTGCTCTAAGTGGGTTCTGCCATCCGCTGCAACAAGACAAAACATATAAAGCTTTAATGAAAAGTGACTTTAATACAGTGAATATACAATATGGAGCACAAAGAATGTAACTTCTAAATCAAACATCTGAAGTTACCCATCCCCTCGTGGGCAAAAGTCAACCCAAAAGGGATTGGCCCAAAGCAAGGCCTGAAAGCTGCCACAAGACTAAAGCACCTTCTGGCCGGGACCCATGGAAAAGGGTCAGAAATGGCCAGACAAGTCTGGGAGGAAAAGAGCAAAATCAAAATCAATATAAACACTGCCATAGTCACCTCCCTACAGGTATCTCACCCACATCTGCCTTAACCAGTCCAGGGTCAGGAAACAAGCCCGGTTTCTTCATCACATGCTTGCTGCTCCATGTGGCTTCCTCAGGTCTCCTCCTTCTCCATCTGCCTTCCTTCTCTCTTCTTCTCTCTCCTTTTTCTCTGCTCAGTTCCACCCTCCTTCTGGGTGGGGCAGGGAACCTGGAACTTCCCTTCTCCTAGGGACCACCCAGTTACAAACAGATTTCTTACTACACCAGAGTGTCTTACTCCTTTCCCTCTGCCCCCAGTCCTTACCACTTATCTTTCGTTGGGATCCCTTCTCAGTAGCAGGTGTCCAGATCTATGAAGCCCACATGGTTCGAAGGTGAAGTACGTAACCCTCACTTTAAGGAAGACTAGGTTTGGTGAAGGGTGCCAGCAGACCTGTTGCTACAATGGCCAAAAAGAAGTGGATCACAACTATACAGGTGAGTGATAAATTTCACAGAATTGCAGATGAGTGCATATGTGCGTGCTTGAGCACACACAAACACACGCGTGCACGCGATGCACACACAGATGAGCGCATACCAAGTTGGTGAAATACACTGAGCTCTGCAATTTAGTTAATTGTATTGGTCTAGTGAATTGTGTCGTCCCAAAGTCAATTTCCTGGTTTTCATAAGGCATTATAAAGTTACGTCGCTGTGGAGAAAGCCTGGGTGGGAGAAGGGGATAGAAGGGCTCTGTACTAGATTTACAACTTTTCATGCGTGTGCATTTCCAAATAAAAACTAAAAAAAAAAATCACAAAGCCAAAGGAAACGGCGCCCGACACCGCCCATTCTCTCACTTCAGCCACCTAACAGGCTCTTCCCTGACTGGGGTGCTGCGGGGTGGGGCCGCGCATGCGCACTCCATAAGCCCCGCCCACCTGGGAGGGACGCTTGCGCAGTGTCGGCCCTACGCCGCCGCGCCAGCCGGAGTCTGCGGCGGGGGACCCAGCTGCCTTGGCCCCTTCGTGCTACCGTCTTTTCCGGCAGTTGGGGCGCTTCCTGTTGTCCTCACCCGCAACCGCCCCTCGGCCCCTACCTGAGAACCTTCAGGCGTCTCCTCCCCTGCTCTGACCTGCTGGGACCCGCCTGCCCGCACGTCCAGACCGCTGGCCGGACCAGCGCCTGGGCTGCCCGCTGCCCCCAGCCCTGCCTCCCCTGGGCTCTGGTGAGTGTCTTGCCGCTTCTGTGTTCAGCCCACCCCAGCTTTCCTCGCCATCGCCTCTTCTCACCCCGACTCTTTTGGGGGGCTCACGCCTTCCCACCCATGCCCTGTTTTGCCGGCCACTGCCTTCAGCTCCTGGGGTCCTGCTCCTCCCAGTCATCCTGAGGCTCTTCTCGGTTTCCTCCGTGTTTCCCAGCCCCAGTTCTGCCTGTGCATTTGGGGCGGGGAGCCAGACTCGACTCTCTCCTTTCCCTGTTGCCAGCTTTGTCTGCTCGCTGCCACTGTGCAGACCCCTCCGGGGTCTCGATCGCCCCCAATTTCCACCCTCCTTTTTCTGAAGTCTAGGAACCTGAATGCTGTTGTCTGAGGCAGAGATGTCTAAAACCCACCTTGGTGGCCGGACCTTTGAATCTGCCCTCTTTGGCACGATCAGTGTCAAGATATTGGGCTTTAGATAATCTTTAACATTGCAGGAAAATTTAACGAAGAGCCGTTAAGAGAGTGAAAACGGAAAGTCGGAAGTCTTTGTCAGAAAGTATGCCCAACAATAGTAAAGTGACCAGATCTTCCACTTGCACTGTGAAATGACTAAAACCCAAGAGTACCGTATTCTTTTTGAGATGTTCTGAGGAAGCTTGAAGTGAAGTAGACCCTGAGCTTCCTCTCCCTTGCAGCACGCTTTAGCTCTGAATTTTAATTAGCTAGTAGATGTGTTTTCCCTAAACATAAAACATCTACCACCACAAAAACAGGCTTTGCTCGCCACCCTAAATGTCCTCCTAAAAGGACAGAAACTCTTCTTTCAACTCTGTATAGAAAACCATTCCATGTCCCAATCATAAATCCCCATCACACATACATGTTCTTATTCCCAGTAATAGACATAAAAAGTGGATGTTTGCCTAGTAAATCTTTTATAAGGTGCTTCTTATGTGCATAGCACCGTGCATAAGATGGGGGCGGGGAAGATATAAAAACTGGTTTAAAACAGGGTGCTTATTTTCCAGTTGCTTATAGTTCATAGGAGAGATTTGATATTTGAGGGGGTTATCTTAACTCATGAATGTCTGTATGAAATACATTGGATTGTCAGTCATAAATAATCAGTGAGATACGGGTATTATAAAATTAACAATGTGCTACTAGAAATTCAGTCAACTAGCTATAACTCTCTTCATTGACTAATCCGGTGATTTCCTCTTGACCTACTTTTATGTTTGCAGTTCCTACTGCTGACTTTTATGAAGATCACATTATTTTGTTAAATTTTTAAAACTTTTAAGAAATGTTCACCTACTTTCACCAATTCTGCAGAGTTGCAGGATAGGACACGGCTGGGGGCACGAATGAGCTGAAAATCAGGACATGCAGGCTTGAATCAAATGCACCAGTGAAAGCTCTGGCTTATCTAAAGTAGTTGGTTGACACAGTAAACCTATGTATTGCTGTCAGGCAATAATTGTATCTTGTGATAAAAGGTTATTAGAAATAAGCCAACCTGTTATGAGTGAAAACAGAGGGAGGAGGAGGAAGTTTTGAGGAAAGGTCAAAGGGAAGGACAGTGCAGCATTTGCAGTTACAATAGAGATGGAGGTGAAGGTCAAAACCCACTCTGCTGGAAAATTTGTTGGCCTAACAGAGTTTTTGAGTTCATTTAACCTCCATTTAATCTTTTAAAAAGTTTAGAATATCATGCCTATGACTTTAGTGGTCTAAAACTTTTCTCTCCAGTTTTCGTATATCTGTCAGTGTAAATGTCACTGTTGTTCTTTAGCTTTGTTGACTGAAAAATCATTAACTTGCTCAATTTACATTTATTTATTAACTACCTTTTGTATGAGGGCACTATTGTAGGCTTAAACACTCTTATATTTTTATGTTTCAAAAATTTCAGCAATGCAGTTTCAGTTGTTAAAAATTAACTCCTTTATAAATATGTAAAAGAAAATAGACACACACACACACATATATAATGTGATTTGTATGGGCATAAATCCTTGCAGGAACGTGTGCATGTGCGCACACGCACACACACCCACACCCACCTCTTCTCCGGAAATTTTCAGACAGTGAAGTACACAGCTCTCACTTGCCTCAGACTTGTTTTTAAATCTGTTTAAAAAATTTCTTCACCAAACTTAGAGTGCATGTGGTTTTCATTGTGGGTGGAGGGGGTATAGGCTGACAAATAAGGAACCACACCCAAGCTTCCTAACCGAAAAGAAGTTTAAAAAAATTCTCCTACTGATGTCCTAAAAACATTTGATTTTGCTTTGTTATTAGTGGAAATTTCCCCATAAAAAGAGAATTATTTTATAGTACTGTAAAGCTGAGTACAATGTCTTGAATTTGTGATTACTGATCATTTTGTTACATCATGAATCGAAACATTTGATTCTGAAGTATGGCTAGATTGTGGTTCTGTTTGCTCTGAAGGAATTACTCCTTATGTGATTTCCTCCATTCAGTATCATTTTATAAAATTGCTTAATGTTATCCCTTTTTCCTTTGTAGTAACAAGGTTACATATTCTTTAAAAAGTCCTACTTTAATTTGTAAAACAATTAAAAATCTGCTAAGTATTAACTGGAGAATCTTAAAAGTTTTCATAAAGTCAACTGTATTTGAAAATCAGCCCTAACCCATCCTGATTTTTACTGAGCTTTATGTTGGGATAAAATAAACAGACTTAGAGCTGGGTCATGAGGGAGGGAGGTGTGATAAAGATAAAATACTGAGCATTATTACTGATGTTGTAGCAAGTCAGGGTTGGTGAACTATCTGGCCAAGATTGACAATGTAGATCAACAAAAATATCTGGGGGAAAATGAGGTCAAGTTTAGGGGAAAAGAGGTTTTATTTAAACCATGTTGGTATCAGTTTTTCTCATATGTAAAACTAATAAGTTTCATATCCCTCACTAACATGATTAAGGATTTTCCTTGTAATATTGTTTATATTTTAGGTCTCTGTTTTAACTTGCAAATTCATATAAACAACAAACTGGCCTTCCCTGGTGGCACAAGGGGGTCAGGTCTCAGCACATTGAAACTGTTGGCACTTACTGTAGCACAAATTCAGTCCCTGGCCAGGGAGCTGACCCACATGGTGGAGCAGCTCTCCTGACCCGCCCGCTGCTCCCCTCAGCAGAGTACTTCCTCTATCTGCCTGTTCTGCTCCCCACTTTGTCTCTGGTGAATCTTCTTACCCATCACACCTCTAACCTACACCCCAGCTCTTGTGTGCTTAAATAAATTTAAAAAACACACAAATAAACAATAAACATCAAATGCCGTAAGACATGTCGTAGTACGTGAGCATTCCATTCTAGTCGTAGATATTTTTAAACTGTAGAAATTATAAACTGAAAAGTTGTGGCAGCAGTGGTGGTTGTACATGCCCAGTGAAGAAAATGTAGAAAACATGGAAAACACAAATAAGAATAAAATGATCTGTTGTACTCTTACTGCCTAGAGGTAAGCCACTGGTGATTTAACTGACCTACCTTTGACATAGTTTTTTCCTAATAATTCTGTGCACATTTTTTAAACACATATGCAATTGGGATCCTAATGTACATTCTTTCCACTTAATGTTGGAATCACGTCCCTTGACATTTGAACATACTTTAATTTGTCTGCATATTAGGATTTAAAAAAATATATCTAACCAATTCTATTTTGATATTCTATTTTGTTCATGTAATTTCTAGTTTTCCTTTGTCATTATCTTGCTGCATTGAACCCTCTTATGTATGAATTCTTAAAGGTCTTTGATTTCTTCAAGGTAGATCCTAGATAATAAAGTTACACTGTCTGTTATATTTGTCTAATGTATGCACATGGTATTATGATCTTGTCTTTAAAAATATAGTGAAATGCGATATTTTCTTGAAGGATACACTACATTCACATTGCTTTTAGGTACATGTGGAATTGCTTCTGATTACTGTATGGAATTTCTAGGTATGCATCTACAGCATTTTATTTCTTTGTAGAATTACCTTCAATGTCTCGTTAAACAAATGATGGCATAATGAACATCCTCTTTGTAATGCACATGTTTCTGCCTGTCACCTTGGGTTCTGCAGTGACAATTTCTCTAGGCCATATACCAAGGGATGGTATTTCTGAGTCAGTATATTATATACTTGGTCTTTAAGATACACATACTTTCACCAAGTATTCTGTTTGTCTGGCTTTTGTTCCATCTTACTTTTTCCTCTAGAATACTTGTACCAATTTATATTGCTGCCAGCAGGGTAGGAGAAATGCATAATTGGTGGATTCTAACTTCAACTAATTCTTTTGTTTCTAGCAGCCATGGCAATGACAGGCTCAACACCTTGCTCATCCATGAGTAATCACACAAAGGAAAGGGTAACAATGACCAAAGTGACGCTGGAGAATTTTTATAGCAACCTTATCGCTCAACATGAAGAACGAGAAATGAGGTAAAGAATTTTATTTGAGAAAGTTGTGTTATCGTTTTAACATTCATGTGTAGTGTTCAGAGGGCCTCCCTGGTAACCTAGGGGTTAAGTCGTAGCACTGTCATGCTGTCATGGTGGCCTGAGTTCTGTTCCCAGTGTGGGGGGGGGTGACCCACATGGCACAGCAGACCTCTCCTGTCTCAACCTGCTGCTCCCCTTAACACTGCATTTCAGTAAATCTGTCTGCTCTGCTTTCCACTCTGTTTCTGGTGATTCCTCCTCTCCCACCTCTTGCACCTCTGGCATCTCTGGCCTACACTGCAGTTGTACGGGGGAAAAAAACAACAACACATAACCCAAACCCAAAACACATTTATAGTATTGTTGAAGGGAGATAAGAATAAGTAGCAACCAACTAATAACCTGTCCCTTTGCAATGAATTTCCAAAGCTGTTGCTGTTAACCCCTTTATTTTTACGGTTATTCAATAACACAAAATTCCATTGTGTTATAAAAAAAATTAATAGGGCCAGATCTTGGAGTTCAGTGTTCAGGCGGTAGGATAAAAGGAAATAGCAGCTGTAATGGAGTTAGACATGGTTTTAGACTCCTGCCTTTATCATCAGTAACTGTATGAAATTGGAATAAGTTTCTTTGTGACTAAGTTCCCCCATCTGCAAACAGGTATAATACTGCTTGTCTTGCAGGATTACTGTGTATTAAACATAATTTGTATGAGTACCCACAGTCGTGTTTCACACATAATAAACAGTTAATGGTGTTATTATTGATCTGGTGTACACTATATAGTAACTCATAAAGAAAACTTTTCCCGTACATTTTATTATGAAAATACTGAAAAGTATAGGAAAGTTGAAAGAATTACATAGTGGAAACTCACATATATCATCTAGTTTTTGCAGGTATCATTTGTTGTTTTATTTCATTTTTAAAAAAGATTTATTTACTTATGCACACAAGAACTGGGGTACAGGCCAGAGGTGTGCGGGAGGAGGTGAGAGGATTCACCAGACACAGAGTTGAGAGAACAGGTGTGGATTGACTGAGATACTCTGCTGAGGGGAGCAGCAGGTCAGCAGGCGAGACAGGAGAGGTCTGCTTCACGCCATGTGGGTCGGCTTCCTGACTGGGCATTAAACTTGTGCTGCAGTGACTGCTGATAGCTTCCTAATGCTGAGATGTAAGCCTGTGAGCCACCAGGGTGGCCGATATGCCTGTATTTTGATAGGATTTTTGCAGCCACATTTTTCATGAGGGTATAAATTATGACTTACATGGGATACATAACTTAATATTAAATATACAGATTTATGTGAAATGACAAGATATTTTTATAAGTGGTTGTAGCTAGCTGCTCTTCCTTGAAACTAATACCTATAAATTTACAAGTTAAATTTTCACAGTTTATCTGCTTAGCCTGTGAAGACTGTTGGAGATAGTTATTTTCAAATGCAGCCACTCTCTTGACCTGGAGTTTCTGATGGTGTAGTTACAAATGTTTATGAATTCTCATTAAGTTCCTTGCGTCATTTGATGTTGATGTGAATAGTGTTGTTTTTTAATCCTACTGACCTTGCCCTATAGTTCATTACTGATGTATATCCCTTTCTCCAGGGACAAGTTGTTGTGTGGTATTATTCATAATATTTATAGATAATTGCTTTTTGATTTACATGGAGGTTGCCCCCAAATATGGGTTGAAAACAGTGCTTTTTCTGTCTTAGATTCCTAAGATGGGAAGGCCCTCCAAAAGCTTTGGTGGTTTTACTTTTCTCAGCAGTCAACAAAAGAGACTGTTTAAGGGAATGTTTGTTTTTGACCATTTTTGTTATCAAATCACTATTTCATTAAAATAAAACATACTTTGAGATTTTTAGAATCACTATTTCCTTGTTAATCTTTGTAGCTTTCTGACCTCTTTTTTGGGCATTAGTTAGTATTTGGTTTTGGGCTTACAGTTTGGGGAAGTTAGTTTAGATTTTATTACTAGAAATACTTCAAAGTTAAGAAAAAACTGATTGGTAGATAGTATCTCAGTAGTAAGCAAACTAAAGTTAGAACGCTCAGAAGCAGATTTTCAAGTTTTTTGATGTTTATGGGGGAAAACATCATAGAACCTTGATAAATTGCTTTAATGATACCATTGATGATAAAGAAACATTATGATGATAAAGAAATATTATGACTCTTGCTAATACTCTATGATGAGGGGTTTGAAATAAGTGATGGGCTGGTAATTTTGAGAACAGATTGTAGTACAGATGCTCATTTTGTTTTTCTGTCTTGTCTGGTGCCTTTAAGATTGTGCGTGTTTTTCCCATTGACGTACAAGTTGGGGTGCAAGTTGGGGTGCCACTTAACAGCACTAGATTAGAGTTGAAACAAAGGACTTCCTTGGGGGCTGATGAGGGAGAAGGATGAATAAAAATCATCTGCAGATTGTGTCCTGTATAAAAGCGAAAGATGAGAACACTGGGCAGTTTTTAGAAACACTAAGCAAATTCTTTTAAAAACATTTAACTGCGAGTCGGGTGGGGCACACAGTCCTGCACAGTGTTACTTGCTGGGCCCCTGTTGCTGCTGCTGGTAGACCCAGGCTGGAGCCCTTGGAGCGCATCTTCCACATTGGACCTTTTCAGCCTTTGATGGGGCCTCTGTCATCTGCTTCTTTAGACAGAGTCTATCTTCCTCTTCTCTTTTTCCACAGGATCTTAGGTACTAGTGAGCATTAGGTAATTACCTGACTATTCATAAAAAAGTTTGGATAATTTATAGCAATCTGAAATAAAATTGAGGAAACTGACATTTCCTGTTACAAGGTATTCTATGTTGTTTTGTTCTTCATGAAGACTGCTTTTGGTGCTTTTAACTAAAGCCACAATGCCTTATTTAACAGGCAGTAGTCATACCTCCTCACTACCCCTGCAGTCAAATAAAAACTTCCCTACATTTTACCCTCTGAAAACTGGCATCTTCTAATGTTCCTCTTAGATAGCTCACCCAGATTTTTCCAACTGTGTCTGCAGTATGGTCTGATCTAACACTGAATTTACAAGTATCATCTCCCACAGATAGGTAAATCCACGGACTGTATATCAGTCAAATCAGCATGGAGAATTGATTTGTTGAGATTTTAGGGTGTTTCTCAGTAATTTTCTCAGTTTTGACTAGCAGTAACAACAGTCACTGTTTCTGTACAAGTTTTCCTGGCTTTCAGTATCTTATCAATAGAAGTTAGCAATAGTGTGTGTACTCAACTCTTCTTAGCATGGACTTCCCTATCCCCCCCACCCCTGCTAACTCTTAAGTCAAGCCTACTGCTAAAGGGGAGCCTAAATTAAATTAGGTTTAGGGCCTGGGACTAATCATAATTAATGGTCACAAATGTGCCTGCACATTGTTACATTCTGCTCTTTTTTTTTTTTTTGTGGGAGGGAGCAACATGCATTTAAAAAGTTGCTGTGTGCAAAACAGGGTCCTCAAGTGTAGAGGATTCAGATGTAGAGCCTGCCTTCAAAACAATCTACCATCTCTTGGGAAATGGGTACATTGGAGTGCCTTGCTCAGGTGAAGCTGGATGTGGCTTCTGCGAATGAAAATGTTCTTTTCCAAGGGTTGGCTTGGGACTTTGGAGTTGAGCATATTGGCATGGGTTTAGCAATGGCTGGAGTGGAGTATTGGTTAACTTGATACTGCAACCAGGTACCAGAGGAGGGCCTGCTTTTCTCTTTCACTATGAACATTTTAACATACACATAAATAGAAAGAGCAATATGATGAACCTCTTATCCCTCATGTAGTCATCCCTCAGATTCAGTAATTATCAGGGTTTTGCTAAATGTATTTCATCTATTCCATTTGCTATTGTGTATGTATTTTATTTTTTAAGATTTAATTATTCATACTGAACTGGGGTACAGGCCAGAGATCTGGAGGGTGAGAGTATTCACCAGAGACAGAGTGGGGAGCAGAACAGGCAGATCGACGAAGTACACTGCTGAGGGGAGCAGCGGG